TTGTTTATCACTATTATCACTATTAATCACTATTATTACTATGCTTAACACTTGTTTATCACTATTACTATACTTGTTTATCACTATTACACTAACACAAAGGATCGTCCATGTATAAGCCCCCACCCGTATATAAGCCCCCCCCCCCTTGTATAAGCCCATCAAAAATCGCTTACGAAAGAATATAAGCCCAGGGCTTATAGTCGGAGGTTTACGGTATTATTTCGAGCCCTGGAATGACGACCCTAAACAATGAACATTGACTGCAGTTTAGCAGATATCATGATATATTAATAAGTAAATATTATACATACACAAATATACATGCCAAAGATTTATTATTAACAAGTAAGCTTAAAATTATTAACATTGAGGCTGTCAGCTAAGTAATGTCAGTAACGAATATTTTCGTATTAACATTTTATCAAAATTTATTTCTCGTACTCATCAAACTTTTTTATGATTTTAAATAATGTAGGGTAGCATTGTAAGTTTGGAACTATTTGGTTATTTTACATTTTTACATTTTTAAGACTAGCATTTTTGGAGTCTAACTACAGTACAAGCTAGAAGACTAATATTTCCGCACAGTTTATAGCTAATAGATTGTATAGTTACTCTTGGTAGTTTGATCATTTCCATTATTCATCAAAGAAATTTTGCATTTCTTTCAATACCTTGGAAGGTCTTCCATCCCTTTGTCTGTTTTTCGATCTCTTGGTGCTCGTGGTTTGTCGTGAGCTTTCGGAAACCTTCGGCATTCTCGAAGACTGCACGACAGCGCTCCAGGAATCGCCTGAGCTGGAGCTATCAGAATCGCTCTCAAACCCGAATGTTAGTTTCTTGTGGCGGCGTTTCTTAGGCAGAATGGACCGCTGTGACCTACAATTGTTACCTGTAGATCTTGATTCGTTTCGTGTGGAAATGGGTTCGTTTCGTGTAGAACTGGGTTCGTTTCGTGTAGAACTGGGTTTGTTTCGTGTAGAACTGGATTCGTTTCGTGTAGAAGTGGATTCGTTTCGTGTAGAACTGGGTTTGTTTCGTGTAGAACTGGGTTTGTTTCGTGTAGAACTGGGTTCGTTTCGTGTAGAACTAGGTTTGTTTCGTGTAGTACTGGATTCGTTTCGTGTAGAACTGGATCTGTTTCGTGTAGAACTGGATTCGTTCCGTGTAGAGTTTTCGACATCCCTAAAGTCGAAGAGAAATCGTTAAAAACATATTGTGTATTACCATCCTGAAGCACTGGCTTGGCAGTCCCTCCAACTTTACTAGGTCAACTAACTTTATTTATACTGGATAGCTCTATCAGCTCTAAACCGTTCTTCCTAGAAGTTCACTGTTACCACTTCCGGACGAAACCTAAACTAACTTTATCCATGGATATCTCAATAGTTCCAAACTGTTCTCCCGAAAGGTCCTGACTAACTTTCTTTATAATAGATAGATCTATCTTTCCTTACCTATGTTTATTAGTCCTAGTTCTTTCTTTATTCGGAATAGGTGATGTCTGGTCAACTCGTCTATTTCTTGATCTGTGTGTCAGAGAACGAACTTCTCTTTCTGCGTTGCTTCCGTCATCTCTGCAAAAAAAAATACAAATATTTTCCATCTAATCCAACAACGCAGATTTGTTAAACAGCTGCAGGAAATTCGTTTGAATGAAGACTTGCTGTTGAAAATTTGAAGGAAACCTTAACACCCATGTCCCACTATATATGGGCGCAACAACATATGGTTGACAGATATTATTCCTCGAATTTAAAACCATGGTCATCTAAAACATATGTTTATGCACATGCAGATTTAGCACAAAAATACTCCGTTGGTCTGCAGGAAATTTTTGCTTCCAGGTTGTGCTCCCAGGAAGAAAATATTTTTCCTGCCACGGAGCTACATATCCAGTATAAATAAAGTACACAAGTTTAGGCTGTGTAGATGAAACTCATTGTCCGAACCACCACAGATGTTTACCTGAAACTATTCATAATCCTTGTATGAAGTTGCCTGCTTGCATCTTGGGATTGTGTATTACGACTGTTCGTACTAGATGCTGCCTGTGAGCAACTACTTAACCACTGTCCTATACTACTAGAACATCCTTCCCTTGAAGCGCGCTTGCTGTCCTGATTATTGTTCTTTTTAGAGGTCGATTTGTTCTCTTTGTTTTTCGTCCTGGAATGTGAAATACGCTTCCTTTGTTGTATTGCGGCTTCAAATTTGCGATTTGATGACCGTTGGGGTTTGTAGCGGTTTCTATGGAATCCATTCTTTGCACTACCTGTTGGGCGAAAGAAAGGCAACTTCTCTAAGCAGGGTTAAAGGCCCATTTCCACTCAGGAAAATTTTCTGCAGAAAGAAAATTTTGTAAAATGTGATCGGCCGACACAAACTTTCTGTCCGTGGAAATTTTTCTTGAGTGGAAATGGGCCTTTATACTTTATACATATCAGAGAGAGTCGAAATACAAGGACTTTTCAAGGACATTCAAGGTCATGTATCAGCAAATTCAAGCACTAAATACTGAAGAGAAGGAGGCGTTAGAAATCAGTAAAATGTGCCGTTGAATTGTTCAAAACGCAACTTTAATGAATTTCAAACAGCTTTGGCAGATGTGAACATGCATAATGGCGTTTTTGAATGTCAAACAATTTCAGAAAATATCCATAAACTAAAGCAAGAAGAATGCAAGGACTTTCAAGAACTTCTTTATACAAATTCCAAGACATTCAAGGCCTTGACTTTTTGTTTTCAATTCAAGGACATTCAAGCTTTCAAGGACTTATTCTCAGGTCAATTTTCACAATACTCCCATCCAATAAGGCTTGAATTATAATAGGGTTGACCTATTAGCTCATCTGGATAATTCTACACAAAGTTTGTACACGTTCATAATTTAAAAAATGCTGGATCACTTTGAAATTCCAGTATTTTTCAAGGAATTTCCAGGACGAAAATAAAAACCCAGGATTTCCTGAGGGCGTATACGAATCCTGGAGACAGATGAATGATTTGCTTTAGTTGGTATAAATCGGGCAAGCGATGTGTTAAAGGGTTTAAAATGACATTAAGTTTTTAAAATTTGAAAATTTTACTGCAGTCATACTCATATTAGTTACAATTATGGTGATTTTATCTTTAGTTCAATTTTCCTAAATAGGAGAAATAATGTTGTCAATACTTTTTCCTTGGGATTTTTTTTCTGTTCCTTTGCGTTGCCAGTTCTCTTCCGTTTCCGCATCAGACGAATCATCCTCATCAAATACAGTAATTGTCCTTGAAGCAAAACTTTCAAAATTAATTTAACTACATTGTTTAGTGCATTATCTTACGATTTCAAGATTTGATTGAAGGGTATCCCACACGTTTTTAACCTATTTTAGTACCAAAGGGACCAACAAGAAGGGGGGGGGAGGCCCTGAGACCTTCTTTAACTAACGCCTCTTTTTAGGTCATTAAGTTAGCTATTTTACATCAGACAAGGTCACTTGGGAATGGAAAGTGTTGGGTGTAAATGGGTTAAACACCAAACTATCAACACCAACATCTCGTGTTTACCAATCAAGCTGCAATGCACCCTACAGTACTTTCATTGCTATTTGATGACAGAATCATTTTACCCATAAGGGGGAACCCTTGTTGTTTCTTAATGTATTAGACAGACTAAAAGCAAATGAACAGACAACCAAAATAAACCTTGCAGATTTCTTTTGGAAACTGGTTGAACAATCTGTTTCAGACTCAGAGAAAGTGGAGGACTCGGAACAGGACATATCTTCAATAAAAGTTACACTGTCACAATCTGAGTCATGAACGATGAAATCTGAGTCATCCGTATCCATCTTGGATGGGGTTACATGAAACGTTTTGTCCTCTTCATCCTACAGCGTAAAAGAATGCACCATCATGAGCACTATATTCATTGCAACACTGACTATATGTGAGCGACAAAATGAGGTTTACCCCAGCCACAATTTTATAATTATTATAAATTTTAAATCAATTTCATCATTTCCATGGAACCATGCTCCATCAGTTCAAATTCCATGAACACCATTATCAATCATTGTCATCATCATCATCAGCATATCTTTGTACCACAACCATCAATAGCCAATGGACCCATATACCAATCACTACTGTATTTATAATCACCATCATCGACACCACCACCATTAACAGCATATAATATATTACCATAATCACTGTCACAACCACCTATTACTATCACTACTGGTCAGCACCATCACCACCAACAACTTGCATCACCATACTCACTACTACAACCACCCATTACCACCAACACCATCATCCCCTACCACCAACAACTTACATCCTGAATTGAAGGTTGGTAATCAGAAATTTCATCTTCTGATTGGGATGATTCCAGTTCTGCCCAAATGAATTCATCGTCATCTTGATGTACACGTTGATCAACATCTTTTACTCGTACTTTCTGAACAGGCGATTTTCCTTGAACTAAGTGACTCTATAAAACAACAGTTCAATGTTTATACTGCATTATGTTGGCATTCAACATGGTCTATTAATGCCATGCCATATTAGTTATCTTTTCCAAAGGACAAACTAGGAAACATTGAGTAATGCAAGCACAGATTTTCTGGGGGGGTGCACGCACCCCCAGAAATGATTTGCACCCCCCCCCCCAAAGGCATTTTGCACCCCCCGCAAATCACATATATTTTGATTTGATAGTTTCATATTTGATTATTCTTATTACTAAATTTGTAAAATTACCAATATTATGGTCTCAGATAATATGAAAATCCGTCTCTGGAGTAATGGCATAACCAGACTATCAGCTGATGTCTATTGCTAACCCATTTTCCTTCTTTTTATTTTATTCTGTTTAAATGTCAGCCATTTTTATTCGTAAAATAATTTGTCAAGAGTCAAACCCACAGAGCCTGATATACAATATTAACAATAACAGTCCAGAAATTGCCTGGAAAAGAAATCTGAATGGAATTTGATTTGAAATTTTCAAATTTCATCAGATAAGGCCTCTGTTGGGTAATTGCACTTCAAGTAGTTATTAGAATTAAAATTTTTTAAAAAATCATTGCTCTGCCTTGTCCATCAATAATTGAGCATTTGGTTGGAAAATGCTCGACTAAAAATGCTTGACCCGTAAATTATAGACTATGTGGCAAATACCTTCGATATGCATCTAAACGTCATCTTGCAAACAGGGCAAGTATTTGTGTTCTGTAATGTAAACAAATATATAAACAAAATTTTTATTTATTAGCTTTGCCTCCAGCGCTTCGCACTGGAGCCACACTTGCTTGAATACAACACGGTGTCATAATTTGCTACAAGCATGTACTTTTAATCTGAAAATAATTTCTTGAATATTTTATGTACTATTTAAAAATATGTTTCTTTATCTCATTCAGTTCTATATCCTCATGAGTCGTGTACAATCAGAATCGGTACACTGCTGTACAAGGCAATGGTAATTTATATGTCAATATTAATGTCATGGGTGTTCAATTTGATATATAATGCCTGATTGATTATTAAAACTTTGATTTGCCATATTATAGGATAGAAGACTCACCGGAATACATTATTTACTAAATTTTGGGATTTTAAACTCGAATAACTCAATAAAACGTAATTTTATTTATATTTTAACGACCCACCTTGGACCACTCCAAAATGCACGCAAAACAAAACCAATGCTGACAAACGCTAAGTTTTCCCCTACATGAAACCTTATCTAAACATATAACACAATTATGTGGTTCTTCATCGTTTTCTGGACGAGATATTGTGGATTTTTTTGATTTTCTTGAGAATGATTTTTGCCTCCTTCCGTCCGCCATCTTGTTTTCGATTTTCGCGCCGCTCGCAACTCCGCTGATCACATCGGGGGCTCACTTTGTACACGCGATTTATACACGCCATCTCACGCTATTTATTCTCGCGCCATCTCGCGGAATCAATCCAAAACGCAAATTTTAACCAATCGAATTTCGAGTTTTCAAACCAAAAAACTGTTGCATTCGCGTTTGAAAAATTTGCAACTGCATTATGAAAAGAAAACAAATGAGGCGATGAGCTATTTTTTCTCTTCAATTTTTGGAAACGACGAAAAACAAGCTTCGAATTCCCCTGTAAAATCCACGGAAGAGGAAAAGCTCACAAAAACAGAAGGAAAACAAAACGAACAAGAAGAACAACAGTCCGAAGATACAATGGCTACTCCTCGAAAGGGCTGGTTGGACTGGCCGTTTTGGAAAAGGAACGATAATTCTGGTGGGGGGCCTTTTAACGCGTTTCGTAAAAATAAAAACCCGGCAGCTTTCACTTGGCGTAAAGATTTAAACTATGCGACGAAGCCGAAGGAATATGGGAAAGGGGAAGGATCGAAAGATCTGGCGGCGTTGAATGTTGGCACAAGTTCCTCAGAAAGCGGCGAGGAAGAAGGACAAAGTAAAGCGACAGAAAGTATAACCAAGACGGGAAATACAGATGGTGGAAAAAGTTCTATGAGGTATGTAAGAATATTTATTCTTATATCTGCACGAGAGTTTATGAAAGTCAATATTTATCGTAAGAAACAAAGTGTTCAAGTGAAATTTAAAAATCAGTTTTATTTATTTTAAAATTAAATAAATTTGCATTTTAAATAAATTTTGCATCCGTAAGCCCGGATCTTCATCAGTGCTAATCTGATATGCGACTTGTTTAATTCACAAGTATTTGATTAAATTAAGTGGCGCAATAAATTAGACAACATAAATTTTATGAAACAGAATATTTTCCAAGATTATATACATGGACGGTTATAGATTCTGTAATGGAAGATCTGACAGGTTTATATAAACATGTAAAACCTGTCTGAATCCGCCCCTGCCAAATTTATTTAAATATTATGTTCTCTTGACAGTGTCCTTGAAAAAGACGTACCTTTGGTCACATACAATGACAGGCCAAATGGTGCAAAAGATGTTGCCCTCAACATGAGAAAGGTCGCAGCCTTGAGAGACAAGAAGCAGAATGATTTACAGACACAGCAAGCGACTGCTTTCAGTGTGGGAGTACTAGAGGAAAAATACTCTCCAACTGGTCAAGGGTTGAAGCCGGAAATTAAAGGTATGGGCACAAAATTATAGTTTGGTAATCTCGTACCTAGAGCACAAAATAGGAAAGTACAGCAGAAGTGTAACTTGAGTCGGTGTTTACGTCCACGAAAATTTTAACTCGTGGCTAGTACAGCCGGAAGTTTTTATCAGGTTTTGGTAGGTACAAAGTGCCGGTTGTACTAGCCAGGATGGCGTGATCGATGACGAATCGCTTGTAAAAACGCGGACAAATACTTGCTTGTGTGAGACTTCTGGAGTACCTTCCTATTCTGTGCCTAGAGTACGTACGTTCGCATGTAGGTTCGAGCAATGCGAGATTGGTGTAGTATGTAGCTTTATTATTTGTTGGTGGCATTGACGGTGGGAAATCGAAAAATATATACAGACTTAATTATATAAAGATCTTTTATATTATCTAATATAACTGTATGATTTCGTAAATGTGTCAAGATAAACCTGTAACAAGATAAAGTGCGACTCTAAAGACTGGGCGCGATTTTTCGATTTTCACTGACCGATAACTTTAATTATACTTTCCGGAAGGGTATATTATGTAGAATCTATCAATGGTATTCTACGGTCTCTCGAACCATCGGTACTCGAAACTTGTGTCTTCAGCGCTACCCATGGGGGATCCTCATAAACTTTCGTTGAGCAAAACGAACCCCTAATTACGCCACATGCTTGGAAGTGTTATATCACTATCAGTGTTGCGCAGATTATACTGGGGTCTCCAAGTCTAAAAAAACGTTTCCTTAGGTCTAGTATCATCTGCGCAGGCTACCAGTAGTTCAGCGAACAAACAGAAAATAGACGCCACGGCCAAAACTAAGAAAGCTATCCGACAACTACCAACAACACCAAAAGAACAGAAACGCGTAGGCACCCCACAAGCTGTTCCAACAAATACAAAAGCAACTCCACGTCAAGAAACCGTTCCAAAATGGAACCCCAACACAAAAATCGTCACGGAGAAAAAGAACGCCGAAAGAAAACCTGTCGAAAATACTAAAAAAATTGACAAAAAGAACGAGGCGAAAAAAGTTGGGGAGACGAAAAAGACGGTTGTTAAAAAGAACGATGGACTAAATCAATTTCAAAAACCTGTTCTTCAGAAGCCAGTGGTTCCACGACCAAATTGCGCAAAAATCGACGAAAAGCCGTCCATATCGTCAAGTCCCAACAAAACTGTTGCCAAGACAGGCGCTGGTAGCCAACTTAAACAAAAGGTAGGACGTAGTTACAATCAATTCAAGAGTTGTCCGAAATTTTGGATTAGTTGTTGATCCCATCAATGGTGGTTTCAGTGACGTGACAAAAGGGTTAGCCTATTAAACTACTCCTAGGTACCTAAATAATTATTAGTAGATTTTTGAAATGTTGTCAGCCAATTTCAATTTCTGGGAACCGTACAGGCGCAGAAGCTATGGGTACCAGGTTGGTCAATTTCTTACCTGAATACTGTAGTGATCAAAGTATAATTTTGGGCTCATAATGTTCACTGCCGGCTCTCTAGGAAAAAGAACTTGCGTGACCCCGCTTGTAATAGCGTGCATATCATTGATGCATATCCACAAAAAATTCAATATCGCAGAGTAGATCAGATATAGTGGTTGGAGCAAAAAAAACGTAACCGCCACCACGCCATGATTTGCAATCGTAATGCTGTCGCCATGTTCCTAGCCTGGCTACCATATTCCCAGCCAATGAGCTTACGAGAGGCACTCGTCCCCTGAATGTCTAAGCCAAGCCTACCATTTTGAATGTTTTTAGAGGGTTGACGGCCTCTCCTTAGCGCCAGGAGAGGCTAGAAACGTGGCGACAGACGACAGTATTGCGATTGCAAATCATAGCATGGCGGCGGCTACACTAACATCAAAAGTGCCGACCACAATCGGACTTCTGTATGCGTTTGTTCTGTGCCAAGATGGCGTTCACGATATTTCAAGAACCGAGTATAATTTTTAGAAAAATGTAAAGCGAGACAGACTTCTCAGTATATTGCTGTATCGCTTTAGCAGATGTCTAGTTGACTACCATCAGTTGTTCCATGAAGATTACTAATATAAAACCTATACCAATATATTGTTAACGTTCGATATGGATCGTATTTTAGGACGCAGCCACAAAGCAAATAGCCGAGACTGGGAAGCAGAAAAATGTAGCAACCGGAAGCCCCGGATTGGCTAACGTGACCGTTCCAAAGTATACTAACATAACCTCTAACCAGCAACGACCTGCTCCCGAAGGTTTCAAAACCCAAAATCTTCCACCACAAAATCAAAGACTAACACGACTACAAAATCCTGGCGCTCAAGTTCCGAAACGAAATATTGTTGCCAACACCGGTCTCAAAAATGGTTCAAAACCTTCAACTCTTCAGCCTTCACAACAGCAACGTGTTGGCCCACAGACTCCTAAGTCCCAAAATATTGGTCCACAGAGTGCTAAATCACAAAACATTGGTCCACAATGTCCCAAACCGGGTACACAAGATCCTAGAGTACAAATCCCTGTCCAGCAAAACCAATGCCCAAAATCAAACCATAGCCCACAAGTTGGTCCTAAACAGATAGCGTCCCACCCCCAAGCCGTAGGCGTGCAACCATCTCATATGCAAAGCCCAATGCCTCAAGCTACTAACCACCAATTTCCCATTCCGCAAAATACATCTGAAATTGGACCACCTTTAAAACGGCCTTACTCGGAAGTCGCGGACCCCCAGCAGCCTAGCGCGCAACGAATTCGCCCTGAAGGTGTCAGCCCACAATCTTCATCAAATCGAACCAACGTGAAACAAAAACAGCCCACGAACAGACGCAAAGCTCCAGGTCTTGCAAAACCTGTCAAACCAGCTGGCGAGACGCAGCCGGTGAATGGCGAAACAACGCAGCAAGATCCGAAAGAAGCCGACAACGTGCCGAGACGCAAAATCTTGTGTTCTAGGGATGGTCGAGAGGTTATTATCGAACCCAACATGCCTGTAACTTTGCCCGGGAGTTTAGCTCACGCACAAGGAAATAAAAACGTTTCAAGACCAACAGAAACGGAGAAAAAATGTCCTGTGCAAAATACCATGCCAAAAACCAAACCCGAGTTTCCCGTCAAACAAGAAAAGCTCGCTCAGCAGGTTAAACCGGTCAAACCAGTTATGAAGGATGCGTCAACATCTACGCTTGCACCAATTAGTACCCTCGTTGACGCCGCTGTACAAGTGCCCGACGAGGAAGAGAACGCGGGCGACGAAATTCACAGCCTACTTGTGAAACGACCTTGGGATACCGAACGAGTGATGAAAATGCAAGTTCACCTGGACGAGAAGCTCGTTGTGATTACTAGAATGAGGGAGATGTTACGTAAACGAAGCGATGAGGTCAAATCCATGAAAAAACGTTGTTCAGAGCTCGAAACGGTCATCAAGGCATCAAATATGCAAGGGAAACCGCAGCTTGTCGCGCAAGTGAACGAAATGACCGATATCAAGAACGAATTGGTGGCCGAGGTCACGAACTTGACCGTGGAACTCGAGAAAGAACGCACGAACGTCAAAAGTTTGAAAACGGAACTCATCGACGTCAGAGCACAGTTGACTACAGCTCGGAAAAAAGCCGCGAACCCGACTGGCCAATAGGGGTGAAGGACGGCGTAGCATTGACCAATCAGGTCCAAGGTACTTTAGTATGTGTATTTTACTAAAAAATAGACGAACTATCTTGTATTTGTACGTATTTTACTTATTTTGTTGCAGCTATAAACGGATATTTAGCTGGTGTGCTGCAAAGAAATAGTCATGTAAAGCTGCATGACAATATTGCTGTATTATATATTATTTATCTATCTGTGTGTAAACACTCGCCGCGCCTTATCTGTAAACTAAAGAACACTTAATAAAAGTTTTAAAACATACTTTTTGTCCTTTGAGTATATTTATTTATGCAAAGATGGCATGGAGTCATGACGCGATGTTGCAACTTTTAGCCAACCTTTGAAAACTTTGCATTTTGCTAAAAATTGTATTGAAAAGTTTATCTTATCGTTTTATGAGAGCACAAATTGCAAGTAAATTGGATGGGGTTGTTTGTATGACGTTTGGAAATTTTTTTGTAAGACAAACCACAAGCTTTTTTCTTGCATTATTAATTTTGCAAAGTTTACATTGTTATAGACAATCGATAATCATTATTAATGATTTATTTGCAAATATTGTGATAGTTTGAAAGCCATATTAAATTGTTTCCTTTTTGTGTGTACTGCATGCGATTCAAAATTTTTTAAAAAAATCCAATACTAGATACTTAACTTGTGTTGTCGGGGTGAGAGAATTGTTTTCCAAGGGGTTTTCTGTGGTTTTACTGTAATAGTTTTAATAGTTTTAATCAGTGTCCATCTTTGGCAATATAGAAATACAATGGATTTACAATGTAAAAATATATAGATACATATATATGTAAGCCTACTGAAAGGTGTAAAAATTCAGTTAAAGTTGAAAAACTTTCTAAATACAATAGTAAAAATCCTATTATTTATGAATTCGATAATGTATTTATGTACACGCCCTTGCCCTTGGAATAAAAGACTTACTATCTCGGTGTGTTTTTGAGGACTGTCTTGGAAAACTGTCTCTAGTCTCTTGTGAATTCACAGGAGTGTGAATTTGTATTTGAATAATTAATTTCCATCTACAAAACCCTTCTGTACATTTAAATAATTTGGGCAAGAGTTTTTCACGTGAAATGCCAAAAAGATTGGTATAAGTTGTCTTATCATGGACTGGCTTACCAAAATACTTATGTATGTACAAGAACTGGTACGTTTTGGCGTAGATCTATTCTTTGCAGCTGGACAGCTGTTGTACTGCGAGCAGAGATAAACCTCGAGATAAACCTCTACTGTCAGGTCACGAGACTTATTCCAATGCATGGTACATAATTTCATTTTGCATACATGACAACTGCTGTTAGTGCTGTTAGGATTACAAGTCCAGAAAAAAAGTAGTGTTATATATACTCTTTAGACTTTTATTACAATACAAACTTCAGGCCTTGGATATTCTTCAGTTTTCTGACAAATTTCGGCTCAAAATATTGGTAGATTTATATGGTAGATTATAGAGTACAATGTGAGATATTCCAGTATTTGTATCACAAAGTCAAAGAGCATGAGAGCGATCTTCAACGAAACAGATAAGAATTTTGAACACCTTACATTTTAAAATTACAGCATGGCGTTCATTAGTGTAGTCACTATTTCATTATTTCATCATATTTTACACTGCACAGCATGAGATGTTCTTTAAAAAAGTCTGAGCCTTGGGGTTGCGTATGTACTCTTATAAACACTATATGAGTTCCCTCAAACATTTCTTACAAATCCTTCAAAACTTAGAATTTACAAAACCAGTCTTTAGTAATTCTTGTAAAGGTAATTCTTCATAAAATGAGAAGAATTTTATGTTTTATGCCTTCCTGCATTTCATTTTCCATATATGACCAATCTTATTCCTTTTATGGTAGACAAGTGAAGTTTTGAGCTAGTTTTGTTTGTATATAAATATTGCGATTGGCTTGAGACATTGCTTTAAAATTTTCATACAGTGTTTGCGCGCAGACTAATCCGAAAAAGAAGCCGAGAGAAATTAGCTATTCTGCAGTGTATAGTGCACAACAGAAAAGCGAAAATCTGCCAAATTATTGATGGAAATTGAGCAATTTACAGGAAATCAAACACAACCCAAACTAGGGTTGAAATTGCAACAGTATATCACTATATTAGAATATACTAGAATATTGTTTTTGATTGGAGGAGGAAACGAATTAGAAAGAAATCATTAAATTGTGGCCAGGAATATTTATCAAGCCAGACAAGGACATACACAATTAATATGCGGCTTTAGATTACTCGCGGGCGACGGGAAAATTGTAGCCAATGGGGAAATGGGAAAATTTGTTCTAACGATTTGGGCACATTTGAGGATGGAATTATTCCAGCAGTCTGATTGGTCAGAATTGTGTAACGGAAATACGTATCGAATTCCCAGAGGCTTTTCCCTGCGCCCGTGAGTTCTACAGCTGACCGACTGTTCTAGTCAGTCGAGTCAGCGAATTGTCGCACAAATTGATTCAACCTTTGGAATGAGAAGAGAAAGTTGCCGATATGTTGCCTGCTGTAGAATCGCCGCACAAGAAGGCAAAAATGGAAGGAAGGCAAAAGGTGGACTTCTCCGAATCCAAGTTTGTTAAATTCTACAAAGCCGGCGTGAACCAAGCGGGAAATATCGCAGACATCGAAGCAGGCTGTACGAGTTTGTCGCAAAGCCCCCCAGCGGAGGCGCAAATCATAACAACGGTAGATAGTCCGAACAAGAGCCCGTGTTATGGGCAAAAATTGAGCCCAAATGAATCACGTTTAAATTACCCAAACAACATAGATGGCGATTCCCGGTTTTCAGCGAATTTGGACTGCGAAGATAAAGAAAATTTAGCGACAGAACTCATACTTGGTAGGTTATAATTTGTATACATTGATCTTTGTTATTCTCGCGACGCGCTAGAAGCATATTATAAATATTTAAAACCCTGTATTGTGTGTTTTGCTAAGAGCTGATCATACTTGCATTGATAAATCATGTGAATTTGAAAACTTTTGCATTTTATCTTTGATATAAATTTTTTACCATTTGCTCGCACGAGTTGTAGCTCTTTGTGTGTTTATGATACGGTATTCCTCGAATGTGTTGTAATTTTTGCTTTAAAAATACACGAGGAAATTGCTTATGTTTATTATGTAAATGAGACGTAGTCAGACACATTAATTAATCACTAATTTTGATTTCTTCTGCCTCGAATTATGCATGAGGGCTTAAACGAACGCTAGCTTCTGTGACCTTTAATCGTTTGTCGTCTTAGAATGCTAAAATATGATACCAAAAACGGAAATTAACGAGGCAGACTGTAGCAATTGTTTTAGCTTGTTCCAGACGAATGAAATATTTTGAAAACGTACGTTATTTAATATCTCAATTAGACTGTGTTTAATTCGATATTCCCCGACTCCGTTCCATAAACTGTGAAACATAGACCTTCTGTGCATGTAAAATTGGGAAATAAATCCTCTAAGCTTCTTTCTATGTGACATAACTATTCGCTTTGCTGTTTCGGTGCTTTGTTTTGAAATTGCTACCCACTGTGTTCTTTTACAACAACTTAATGATTAGTTACCCCCTGTTGCGAATTCAAAATGCTCGTGAATTTTACCTATGTTCTTTACTTTCCCTGTTTAGCCAAGCTTATAGCCTCAATTCTTTTTTCTCACATAATCTTGCATCTAATTTGTATTCCCCAGTGGTTTTCCTTGCTTTGTTTTAATTTTTATGCTTAATTATCGATGGCAGATGGGCAGAGATAACGGGGTTATTTCAGTCCAGAATATAAGCAAGGTTTCTATAAGAGACCCCCAACTAAATGTTTATCAAATTCAAAAAATGCCTGGCTCGCAATGAGGCTTCAAGCCGGTCAATTTCTGTATACAAAAGCAGAGCTGTTACCACTTTGCACAATTTTATATCGTTTTCTTTTTGGTTTGCTCACCAGAAACACGAACAAATGCCATTTCTTTTTGTCAGCTATGCTTTGGTTTCGCAAGTGACATTTACTTATCAACTCATTTGCCATTGTGTCGATATACAGTACAATTTATGATATTGTTCTTAAATGTTTTATGTCTGAAATGAATTACGTCTGTCGGGATACGGCTTTTGTTTTGCAAAATTAATGCTGTTTGTCATATTTTTTTTACTCTGCTTTGCAGTTTATATATTTTTGAACGAGTCCTCGATAAATTTTTCGATGTTTCCTAAAAGTACGAAGCTTTCTTGCAACAATTTGCTAGAATTATGCGATTTCGTTTCATGTTCGAAACTATGGCGAATTTCTTGAGAATATGAGCTGGATTTTTGACTTTATAGTAATTGCATCTAGAATAATTGAAATTCTCCCGATTATATATAATGAGATTTCCTGACAGCATTTATGAAAAATATTTTATATTAAAGCCTTAATTTTAATCTATTAATCGTCGGGTTTAGGCAAATCGGTGAGAGAATGTCAAATCCTTCGAATATATTTCATTCAAGAACAAAATAAATAGAACTAAGTGTTTAAAGGGAAACCGGTATCTTGAAAAAGGGTCTGTTTTTACTGCCAGAAAAAATCTTTGGTTTTGCTAATCTGGTTTGTTTTGCTCGAGTGTGGCATTTTTAATTGGAAGTGTTCAGCTATACGAGTTGCCAAGAACAGCTGTTTTTCCTCTAAGTGTAAACACTACAGCGTTAAGGGTATATTTGTCCCTATATTCTTGCCTAGAAACTGTAACATGCAATGTTGTCGATTTTGCAACATTATATTTCATGTATCGCCATTCTATTAATAAAATTTCACACAAATTTTTAGCGGGGAACTAAATTATGACGCGATTAATAACCTCTAAATTTTGTGGTGTCTGGCTGGCGAAATTTGGCTGTCTGTCGCACATCTTCAGACCTTAGACTCGAAAGGAAATATACAAATTACGCACAGTTGTAAATTATTGATCAATTTCAGCAATTTAGACTTTGAACACTTAGCGACAATATTTGATTTCGATTTCTCAGTTTCCAATAACATATCGTATGTGTTTTAAAATGCCTCGTACTGTTCCTGAAACCTAAATCTAATCTACAAAGACCAAAGTCAAAGAAGGAAGGCTCTTTTGTCAGGAGCGTTACTGTAGTATTAAAGCTTAAAGATTTTCAAGCGCTGATAAAACGAGGATGAAAGTTAACAAGCCAGAGTTTGCATGCGAGTTTTCTCAACTCTCATGTCAAACGAGAACCGAAGGCGGAGTTGCATCTCTTCAAAATTTATCAAACGCTCGTTGAACGAGACTCGTTCGACTTGTAATGTATTCAGTGCCTGACACTTTGCGAAATCGTATGGGGAGGGGACATTCAGAGGCTTTCAAAAATTATTGGGGCAATTTCCACCACTGCTTGTATTTTCAATGCGTCTCTTCCATAAACTTTATTTGGCAGCCGCTAGCGAATGTTCTTTGTAATGGAACACTTGAAAGCGTTCTTTGGAGGTTGGATCATTAGCATGTATTTGTTGTCATCGTTGTATACAAAAATATACCTTGATAATTATGCTTTAATGATTTTATGATAATTATACTGAGTGCCAAAACAACAGAACAATTGAAACCGTAGAAAGCCATTTTGTATTTTACTTCGAAAAACGTTTCTTAAGCCCGTTTTCCACTCACGTATTTCGCCGCCGCTGGCGAAAAATTTCGCCACCGAAAAAGTTCATTTGTTGTTCTTTCGCGTCGTCAACGAAAGGTCAAACAGAAGTTGAAAATTTAAGCAACTGTAGCAGGAGAACAAATCTCTTCAGCGGCGAATGAATGTAAAAATTTGTCAAAATTTTTCGCCAGCGGCGGCGAAATAACGGAGTGGAAAATGGCGACGACGACGACGATCAATAATAAATAAAATATTGTGAAGAAAACTTGTTGTGCATTGTCCACTGTATGGATTAATGCAGTTTCAGTTTGAGGGGATTAAAACAAGGGTTTTTTGGTCAGTTTTTTGGTCAAGGGTTTTTTGGTCAGCGTTTTTGCGGCTGGGATTTGTAGTTACAAGAGACGTGCGTGGTTTGCCGTTGTAAAAAACATACGTCACTTTACATTTCGAGAAGTTACATTGCATTCTGGGATGGTAAATTACATTCTGAGAAGTTACATTACATTGTGGAATGTTAAATAGAATTCTGAGAAGTTACATTACGTCATTACTAAATAGTACATATCAATGATTACATTCTTGGATGTCACATTACATTCCGAGAAGTTACATTACATATTCTGAGAATTTACATTACATTCTGAATATTTACATTACATTCTGGGAAATTACATTACATATTCTGAGAAGTTATTTCATTAATTCTGAGAAGTTACATTACATTCCGAAAAGTTACAATATATTCTGCGAAACAACCAGATCTCGTTCCCAGGGCTCGGTAACGTCGGGCAGCCCGAGAAGCCCTGGGAACGAGGATAACCAGATCTGCGTTTTAGACAAAATGTTGGGTTACATTTTTAGATTTGGTCCTGTTGGAGTTGTTGTTTTGACCAGTTCTTATTGATTCCGGGGTCACCCTAATTTAAGACAAGTCCGACTCTATTTATTTATGGTGAATCTTTTGACACTGACAATTACCATCTTTGCCAAAATATGCCGAAAACGATATAGAATTACATTTCTGAAGAACCAGTTGCGGTTTAAATTATCCGATGACCTGCTAGCATACATTTTATATTAAGTACAAAGTTGACAAATAGCCCTGAAACTAACTTAAATAGACATATCCAAACACCTGAAATAACGGTTTCTAAAAATTATTCAAATTATGGCTTAATAATTAAATGAGGTTTCAATAAACAGTTCGTGCGTCAATAATGCGTTTAACTGGGTGAAAAGGTCAGCGAGGACAATTCCTTAAACTGCCATATATGTCTTCGCCCTAAATTTAGCTCATATGCCCCTAAAAAGCAACGGATTTACGTTAATAGCCTCTGTTTGTCTTGACATTTTTAACAAGCTGTTGTTGAATTGTCTACGCATATGTTTCACGAAAATAAATGAATCTGTATATGAAAGGTAAGAGTTTAATTCGTTTTGAAAAACAGACAAGAGTCAGGGCTAACATTTTGCGAGTCTCAAATCTGAAACGTTATTCTGCTTACTTAATTCACATTAGTACAATATACGATAGGTATACAAACCGGAAGTACTGGTAAAGTAGGGTGTACTCCCCCGGATAGCAAACTGTTTTCCGCTAGCATCTATCTCAATCGGGGGGGGAGGGGCGCTATATAATAGGCCCAATCGGTTGACACATTTGCATGCCTTACGTTTAAATGCTTGTTTGCCATTGTTCCATTCTTAAATTTTATGCTCACATTATCAGGTAACTAGGCATGTGAATTATTTGATGGGCTGTTTATATGGAGGCCCGGTGACCCGTGTTATCTTGCTTTTCCGAGACGAATTTCACCCTGTGTTTACATGAGACTCTTTAGACGGGCTAGCTCGCCAAAACAAAGCATGCGTATATAGCGGGTTAGGTCTAGTTATCTCGACTTTGTTCTAGTAACATATGCTTATACATTAACCGCAGAACAGTGGTAACTAGGCATGTGGTCTAGGATAAAACATGGCTTTACTCCTGGGACTTAAGCCAATTTTTACATTGGGCGAATTTGTTAACAGAACAGCAGGCTTCGGCAAGCGTCTTTCGCCTCTGAGATCATGGGTTCGATTATCGTTGCGGATATATGTCACTTATGTGAAAAGAGTCGTTCAACACTGTACCACAGGTGTACTCTGGGTACTCCGGTTTCCTCCGACAGGGAATTTTCTCAGGGTGGGTTGGGATTAGCCCCTAAGTCGTGATTAGCCCCTAACACTGACCCTTCCACCGTGGCTGCGTTCCGTGATTAGCTGGCACCCACCCATTCACTCGCTTACAAAGGCCGTTTTCCACTTCAGCCGTATCGTAAAGCCTGGTTCAAATATACCTGCGGTATGCTGGCGGGCTATTGTTAGCAGTTCAACCAAATAATTCACAAAAGAATGTACGCATCAACAGCTGTAAACAATGATAGCGCAGGCATATGTGAACCAGGTTTGACTACCGTAGCATTTCTTTTGTGTCAAAGTCATTAGTTCCAGTGCTCAGGACTAAAGGGCCATTTCCACTCAAGAAAATTTTCCACGGAAAGAAAAATTTGTGAAATGTGATTGGACCTTTACACCCCTTCGTTCTCCAAGACTCCAACAATGAAAAAACAACGAACATTCCAATTACTGAATCGTAACTGGATCAGTCTGGATGCCACTATTCTTATGTTAAGCCTCATAGAAACGTTCAATTTTTCCTTGACAATTAAGCGTCATTTCCTTGTGTGTGCGCCAAAAAATGTTTTGGTCATGCCAGCTTTTGGAGAAGGAAAATTTGTTTTATGTGAAGGGCCGTCAAGGAAAACTTGATCATGACAAGTGTACAACAAATATACGTCTATGGTTTTGGCAAACAATAGGTGGTCTTGACATAAGATAAATATTCAACATCATTCTGTTAAAACAAGCAGCAAAACGTGTCACGGGAAAGTTGTTTAGTGTTATATGCAAAGGCTTGTTTAATGTGAGGCCCGTTACTTTGTCGAAAGTTAACTATGTTACTATAGGAAGATTGACGAAGCCACTTTAAATAAGAAACGTCTATTTTTAGAATCACCTCCTATCCCCAATCCCCTACACGATACTCCTCCGTCAAGGGTCATTCATTGTCGCGCAGTGGCTGACGGTACAAAGGAGACGGATCTAATAAGTGTATTACAACCGTTTGGTAAAATAACGTAAGTTGGGATTTCGATTTTTATTTATTTACAAACTTTGTCATGTCAACAGGTAATTAAGACCCACACAGCTTTTGCTCCATTATGGGCAGGATTATGGGCAACCAGACCTAATTGATACAAATAATATGCTTGGTGACAGACTAACAACAATAATTACTTACATTTACAGAGAGTTACTAATTATTACTAACACAAAATTACTAGTAACGCTAAATTACTAGTAACGCTAAATTACTAGTGACGCTAAATTACTACTAACGCTAAATTACTAGTGACGCTAAATTACTACTAACGCTAAATTGCTAGTGACGCTAAATTACTACTAACGCTAAATTACTAGTAACGCTAAATTACTATTAACGCTAAATCACTACTGGAGGTCATTCCCCCAGAAAAATGTTATAGTTTTGAAGCTCTGACACTTTCTGGAGAGAATTCGTTATAAAAGAATTGCGCGGTCATATTGACTTGCGTATATTCATGAATTAAACACGCAATTTACGTTGTATCATATTTAGTTGCCTCAAAAACACCTTTATTCATTTAAGTCTAATGCACTTTAATTGATCTTGCAGATACGTAGCTCTTCTACCAAAAATACGCCAGGCCTTGGTGGAATTCGAGGTACTTGTTATCTCTTCATGCTCGTTTCTGTCACTGATTCCATTGTGTATGAAAATATCAGACTGTTTGGTTACTGTGCAATACGTTAGTTTTACGAAGCACAATCGCCGCCGGGCTCGAAATAGCGGGCTGCCAATGGTCTAAAACAGACCATATTTTAGAAATGACAGGCAAAAACAAATTTGAACTGCCAAAGTAAAAAAAAGGCAGGTGAATAATCTTGTAGCAGGTCTGCCAACAAGCCGTCAACAAGTTGTGTTCGCACTGCTTGTCCCAAGTTGTCAACAAGTTTGGAACAAACTGTTAACAACTTGTAACAACCTTGTTGGTATTATCAGACGTGTTGCAAGGTTGTTCCAACAAGTCCAATACAGTCATGATATGACAATATTATTAGTATTAAAACCTTGTGCCATCAGCCTGGTAACATTCTTCATGTTATATCATCACTGTATCAGACTTGTTAGAACAATCTTAATCGTCCAAGCACCTAAGATATCGTAACCCCAACAATATTCAGGTCAAATCAAGGATAACAATTCTTCTGTTTTAGGATATCGACTCCGCCGTGGCCCTCGTTTGCTATGCACAGGTATATGATTTTCTCGTCGAGACCACTTGAAGAATTGAACTTTTGACCAAGTTATTCTAATAATGTCTTGTCGTTTTTTTCCAGAATAACCCTATAATTTTACTCGGAAGACAAATGTACGTGAATTTTTCAAAAAGTCAAGAAATAAAAAGGTACGTCTTTTGTACATTATTAGCTTGCATTATCAGAACAGTGGTAACTAGGTATGTGTATAAACTATGGATTTTGGGATGAGAAATTTCTGGTGTGTCGGTATTACCGGTTCTTAGGCTTTGTTAATTAGGGAGGAAAATTTCTCAATGAGAATTAGGAACGAAATTTTAACAAAGGAGATTTAGATTTTGTAATGTGGAAACACCGCACCTTTTCGTATATTTTCCATTATTTTATATTACTATTCAAGCGTGGACAGACTCTACCTCGTTATAGTGCCAAATTTGGCCTGCTGCTCCAAATAACTAATGTTCTTTCTTTTCAGAGACAAAATCCCAAGTGGTCACTATCCTATCCCTATGTCACCCCAAAGTCCCGGTGAACAAGACATATGTGGAAATATTTTATTATTAACAATCATGAACGCTTTATATTCTATAGACGTAGTGAGTATTGCGTTTACTTGTTTTCATAACCATCAGTTTGTGTATATGGTACTTGTTGTTAATTTTGTTGTTGCTTTTGGTTTACGTTAGTCAGAAAAGTCAGAACTTTGTTGACCTCTGAACTCAGCCAATCAGAATCTACTGAGTTCAACTATGAGCAATCAGAATCGACTGCCCAGATCTGGGTAGCGCAGCTGGGGATCGACCAACAATGCCACTGATTTTTCACAGACTGTATTACACCTTGACATGATAAACACTATATATTTTTAGAATGTCATATCTCAAGTTTGTTCACCATATGGCAACGTTTTAAAGATTGTGATCTTTCATAAGAATGGCTTGCAGTGTCTTGTCGAATATCCTTTACATTCGTAACAATTAGATCCATCTTGCGCTGTAACAAATAACTTATATATTAGCTGATAAAAAAATTATAACGATTCATGAGGCCCAGAACTTTTCGTTGAGTGGATTATATTATTATAACATTTGGTGCGAAAGGGCGTCTGTGATAAAACGCGAATTTTAACGAATGCTGACGTCTGGAAATGATTTTTAAAAAATTTTGCCAGCGAAAAAAAGTTGTTTAAAAAAAATGTGTCATGAGATAGGATCATTCGGGAAACCGCAACCAAACAATTTTTTTAGCGCGTATAGATGAACTATCAGCAAAACATTAGGGCGGTGTTATTCATTTGTTCCAAGAATCATCAGTATAGATAACGTTATTCTAGTGGTTTACACTATTGACGTCACAACACGTCATCTAGGAAAGCCAGACTAAAATTAGTCATGCGCAAGCTCCCACTGATCTAAAAAAATAGGACTGGATAGAGTATCCTTTTCAATTCAATACGCCAATTTTGAAACCAGAATATAATGAGATGAGATTTTAGAGTCTATATAGCAAAGTCTCTGCAAATTAGCCATTGCGAAGTTGATGAGAGGACTGGGGAGTGTTAAAAAGTGCCCAAATTAAGAAATGAACCAAATCACTAAAAAGACCACCTCAAAATTAGTAATTATACAAAGTTTGAAGACGTTTATATGAATACCCTTCGAATAATAAGCTTTCAAAAATTGTGAAATTACTGATTAAAAGATTGTTTTTGGGACGCGCGTCCCAAAAATTACAATACATTTCATAGTAAATATCGCGATTTTTGAAAGCTTATTATTCGATGGATATTCATGTAAACGTCTTCAAACTTCGTATACTTACTAATTTTGAGGTGGTCAGTTTTTAACACTCGTCCCCAGTCCTCTCATCAACTTCGGAATTGCTAATCGGATCACGACGTGCTTAAATTAGCAACATTATTAAGCAAATGTCTTTTTCTATATTACTTAAAAGATATGGCTACCCACATCTCTTCTAATGAGTTTTAGAACGTTTTAAACACTAGATAATGGGACTTGTGGGCCGCCATCTTGGCGTGAACCTCGTCATTGAGAGCGAAGAGAGATTACTGTTGATAAATGTCTATTCACGAAATGTTTATTCTTTCCCACCGATAACCAGAAACTGTAAGAACCTCTTCTACTATGTCACCAATACCACAGTAGATTTGTGGTGGTCAAACCAATCATGGCCGCCATTGCCTTCGTTCATGTATAGTAGATGCTGTATCCAGTTCGAGACCAGTGTGCGCAAGCTCCAGCCATTTCTGAACGAAATGTTTGAAAATCTATCCACTTCGCAACACAGCTATAATTTATGGTCGGAACATTTTCACAATTTCTTCCTTAACGCTGTATAAATTCGACAGCGTAGAGTCAGCAGAACAAGCCAAACTACATCTAAATGGTCAAGATATTTATCCAGGCTGTTGTACACTCAAAGTGGAATACTCACGGGTAAGGAATGACTTAAAGCCCCGGTCAAACAAGGATGAGAGTTGATGAGTGTTGAAACTCTCCCTCGCGTTTGACCGCCGTCTCTCATGCACTCTCATCAATGAACTCTTGTCAACTTTGAGCTGGTTGAAATTTTGATGAAAGTTGATGAGAGTTTTTGCTACGTGCGCGTTAATACTGATCCAGTCAACTCTCATCAACTCTCATGGAACTCTTGTTCTCGTTTGACCAGGGCATGAGAGTTGAGAAACTCTCATGTAAATTCTCACTTCTCAACTCTCATGCAACTCCAATGTTCCCGTTTGACCGGGGCACGAGAGTTGAGAAAAGTCTCATGTAAATTCTCGCTTCTCAACTCTCATCAACTTTCAGATGGCATTTATTACAGAATAACTAAGAAAGTTTTGGTGATTCTTTTCATTATACGCAGTGCCAGTAGTCTATCATGGTTGTGTAAAATGGCTAATAAGATGAAGATAAATATCGTGTTAATTTTTGCTGCAACTTGCAACGCAATTTTATTTCTAGGCGAAGAAATTAAATGTGTATAAAAATGACGAAGAAACCTGGGACTTTACTCAAGATAAAAATGAATGTGTACCTGGTATGATTCGCTCAATGAAAGATTTTGTTTTTAATTATGATGTACGTGTAGTAAAACTCTCTCTCTCTATATTGAACACTTTATTTTCGTTTGTATTCCAGGTGACTGTGGACCCAATAATGTTCTGACCCCACTAAACGGTACGTTAAAAATTGACAATCTCAAACTCATTAATAATTAGCCAACCATAATTGTAAATTAGCCAACCATATTGCTTTATTTTGCTCACATGATAATACTGAATACCTGGTGAAGTATGTTAATCCAGTCCTAGGAGTGGATCAAAATTAATTCACCTCACTTTAAGTAGTGTTTATGTCATTTCAAATCCTCCAACTTGGACTGGACTGGATTTTTGACTTCGTCCACTTCTCGACTTCACCTCTGACTTGATCAAATTTCGCGGACTTGAACTCTAGTCCAGTCCTCATAGTCGGATTGGAAATATTAGATACTTAAGATCTACGACGTCGTCGTCAGCTAGGACGTCAGGGCTAAGCAGAGGACTGGGACTAGGACGTCCTAAATTTACATCCTTTTGAAAATGAATTTAAAAGAGACGTGCGAACTATTAGCATTTGTTATGCTCTTGTATTTACGACGGTAAAACTCTTGTTGTGAAGTTGTCGACGTTTGGTGGACGACGAGCAAATTGAGAGAGACACATGCACACTTCGAAAACTGTTACCAATTTACTTCCGCTTGCCGCCCTAAATATTTGACGTAGATACTTGAGCTATCTACTTATTTAAGACGACGTCCTAGTCCCAGTCCTCTGCTTAGCCCTGACGTCCTAGCTGACGTCGACGTCGTAGATCTTAAGCTATCTATTACTTGAAATAATAGTTTTATGCTAAGTGGTGTCAACTGTTATATGGTAGATCAATACATTAATTGCAAGTCATTAAAATTAATTTTTATTTCATTTAGGAATGCCTATGTCGAGTACTCAATTGCCTATCACTAATGAAGCGTTGGCGAAAATATCTGCATTTCCAACGGTTCACAGTAAGAAACGTCTTCATTCATAGACTTTGTAACGTGGAGCTCAGTTAGGTTCATTGTTCCAGTGGACGTTTCCAACGAATGTCCTTACAAAGCATGTACATCGTGCTATGTTTTAAACGTTCTAGATTGGTTTGTGATTAGCCCATTAAGCTGCAGAGCTAATTCCTCATTGACGAGTAAAATCGTCTGGCGTTAGACAAGTAAAAAATAAGTAGGGCGCACTGGGGCGCATTGCGGCTCAATGGGTTAAGTACAGCTGTTATTTGTCTGTTCAATGATTATTTAAAATCACCAAAACACGGTAAAATATCCACAAATGCTGAAAACGCTACTCTACGAACTCGGGATTTTAAAATTTCCCGAGAGGAGCATAATACCCTTACACCCCCTAAAGGTTCATGGATAGCCTTATGGGAGTCGAAATACATTTTCACATAATAATTGCTTCGGCAATTCTGGCTACGTCACTGGTTCAGACACAAACAGAAGTACCTTAAATTCATTTGTTTTCTGCTTTTGTCTGTTAAATTCATCTAACTTCAATTTTGTTCACTTTTCCAGGTATCTTGTCCAAACTTAGTGTTTTACCAGGTGAGAAGAATCCAACGTTTATTAGCCGACACATGTGTTTGTTTAGTTCGTCTTGTTCCAGTTTTACTACAGGAGGAAACGTAAACTTAAACTAACTTTATCTATACTGGATAGCTCTATCATTCAGGTGTAAACTGTTTTCCTTAGAGGTTCAATAAGGGGCATATCTTATTGATCCAGTGTTACTATAGGGGGAAACCGGATTTTTCGACTAAATCCTGTGATAACTGGAAATATATTTTTCGCACATGCAAATCGGGCGACACTCCGGTCACTAAGATGAAAGACACATCCCAATGACGTCATTTTATATCTTCGTCCTTATTAGGTAGTGGTGGTGTATCAGGTGATGTCACTTCATGTGATCCCATGTCAACCTCACTTAACCCCGGCATGGATGGCTCTGATCTCACTGGACTGTTCCCAAGTGTACCTAATAGTCCTGGAGGTCTCTCGCCGTTATCCTTAGCACCTCAAAGTGTCATTGGCGTGGGGCAACCCATACTTAACCCAGGTAGGTCACCATTGACGGGAAGCCATATTTCCCAAAGGTAGGCAGACCTGGGAACATTGTTTCTTAGCCATGTTTCCTGAAGATGGGCAAATCGGGAAGCATTGTTTCATAGCCAGAAGGTGGGCAAACCAGGAAACATTGCTCCTAGTCCCTAGCCATGTTTTTAGAAGATGGGCAAACCAGTAAACATTGTTTCCTAGCCATGTTTCCCGAAGATGGGCAAGCCAATTTTACCTAGCCATATGTTTCAAAGATGGGCAAACCATGCACGAAACAGTTGCATGAAGAGAAAATCGCTTCCGAGTAAAATGCTCAATTCATATCGGTTCAAAGTTAATTATAATAATAATCTTTGTATTTTCCAACAGACGGTGGTCTGGGATGTGTTCTCATGGTTTATGGTTTAAATCCAGAACGAATGAATTGTGATCGTCTTTTTAATCTGTTTTGTCTTTATGGTAACGTAATTAAGGTAACTAGACTGTCTTTATTAGAGACCTTACGATTTTAGGACGGCAACGCGACGGCAACGGCTACCAATACAATAAATCATTGAAAACAATTGAATAATTACAAATATGAATAATTTAGACATTGTCTTCGCTCTGTTTACAACGCCAAATCACAGATTTTCACGTCCTGATACAACGGCTGCATTCCAAGCCGCGACAAGTGCAACTTCGGTTTAAATTGGGTTCAGCAGAACTCTTCCCAACCATAAAACCCATGTCTTCAACTTCTAAGACTGTAGTATTAAATACATACGATTGATAATACACGACGAATTATCTTTACTACCATTTATTTGAAGGAGTTTGTTTTGACCGTCGTCGTCGCGCTGCCGTCCTAAAATCGTAAGGTCTCTATTTCTACCTCGCGAAAACGTTTTCTAGAGGTCCATGCAGGAAAGAGGTCCGTTTGCACAATTGCACTTGAATTTTGTACTGCAATTTCCGGTGCGATTTTCTTCTTCTGATGGATGTGAACGAGTAGATGAGTTATGAATGTTCTGGATATATGCACCCTCATCTGAACATTCATATCTCATCCACTCGTTCACATCCACCAGAAGGAGAAAATCACACACCTAAAATCGCAGCAAAAATTGACCATTTGCGTAATAGACTAAATTTTGATCTCAACAAAAATTTCATCACAGCTTGAAAGAGCATCATAAAATTAGTAATATTCCAAAGTTTCGTTGCAAAATGTTGTAAAATGCGGATAATATAGCCTTGCGAAATTTGCAATTTTCAGTCATTTTAGATTACAAACGGGAAATTGACAGCCCCAAACCCTTCGAGGCTGTCAATTTCCCGTTTGTAATCTAAAATGACTGAAAATTGCAAACTTCGCAAGGCTATATTTTCCGCATTTTACAACATTTCGCAACGAAACTTTGGAATATTACTAATTTTGTGATGCTCTTTCAAGCTGTGATGAAATTTTTGTCTAGACTTGTTTAGATCAAAATTTAGTCTATTACGCAAATGGTCAATTGCAAGCGTAAACACGGACCTTAACAATCACAATTATTGATTCAGTGTTGCTAATGCAGGAGGAAACCTAAACTAAAATACACTATCCGGACTCTATTAGGTCTTCAGTAATAAAAAGTATTTGTTTCTCGTTTTAGATAAAATTTTTAACCAATAAACCTGGTGTGGCCATGATTCAAATGTCGGACAAAATGGCGTCTGAAATGATTATCAAAAATTTAAATGGTTTGGAACTGTTTGAATGCAAGCTGGTTATTGCGTGAGTATTTTTGTAATGCTCGGGACATTATTCATTCTTTGTTGTGAGGCGTTGAGTTAGATCATTGATCGACATCGCAACACGGGTTAAGCGTCATCTCTGCTGCACCATAATGGCATAATGCTTAGTGAAACCGACCTACAATAAATGCAAAAAATCCTTGAGTATTTTCATTAAAAACATGAGTAAAATAATGCAAAGTGGCCAAAAATTTGAGTATATAAAATTACTGAAATTTTTAGTAAAGTTTTAATTTACTCATTTTTTTAGTAACTCAAAAACTGAGTAAATTTCCTTATAAATTTGAGTAATTTCAGTCATGACAATACTTGTTTGTTTGGGGATCACGTTTGTGTTAAATTTTGTTTTCTGTTAATTTTTCAGATTTTCGAAACATCCCTACATTGCGGGTTCGTCAACCGTGAACACCTTAAATGATGGCACGCCCGCGACTGTCACATACACTGAAAATAGAAACAACAGATTTAAATAGTAAGTACAAATGTATAACTGTGATCTCTATGTATAACTGGAGCACGAAGCCAAGATGGCGAAAATTGACGTCCAATAGGTATGAAGGTTCAGACCCTCTACCATGTTGTTTTTCTTTGCCAGTTTAACTAATCTCTATATTTGTTTTTTAGCATTCCTGAAGGACAAAGCCTTAAGAACCGTATCCTTCGACAATTCCCCATTGTTTAGCAAATAATAAAACAATTTCCTTGTTGATATACAGTTCTATCAACACGAGTGGGAATTAGGAAAACGAGAAATTGTGTGGAAACACGACGCCCGGAGGGCGAAGTGTTTTCACGCAATTTCGAGTTTTCTCAATTTCCACGAGTGTTGGTATAACTGTATATCAATACGGAAAAATGTTTTAGATTTTTTTTTATAATATAGCATTTGTAAATTCTGAACGCTGATTGGCTAAGAGCCGTGTTGATATAACTCAATGTCAACACGGGAAATTTTCTGCCGCTTATAAACACGGAAATTTTTCTTATCCTTCGGGCTTTTGACATTGCTATATTATAAAAAAAATATAAAACATTTTTTCCGTATTGATATATAGTTATATCAACACTCGTGGAAGTTGGGAAAACTCGAAATTGTATGAAAACACTCCGCCCTTCGGGCGTCGTGTTTCCATACAATTTCTCGTTTTCCCAATTCCACTCGTGTTGATATAACTGTATATCAACACGGAAAATGTTTTATATTTGTTAAATAATATAGCACAAAGAAATATAAAGAAAGAATTGAGATTGGCTCTTAGCCAATCACCGTTCAGAATTTACAAATGTTATCTATGTTATAATTGCTATTTTTTCACTAATTTTCCTTAATCACAAAACTCAGGATACCAACCTCCCACACGCATGCTACATTTCTTCAACGCACCTCGCAACTGTACTTTAGATCAGCTCAAAGACGTAAGTGTATTGTAACACTATTTAGAGAGTAGAGATGAATGATGTTTCGACTCATTTGAACATACCAAAGCAAGCAGGCCTATAGTAAATTGCCTAGTATAATCTGCACGACTAAATACTGGCAGGAGCGGGCGAGCTGCAGCCCCCAGCCCCTCGCAAGCCTATGTCTTCATCATTACCACAATTGTATGTATACGACTTTAAAACGATCGTCATTCTGTGCCATCGTTTTGTCGCCGCTAAAAATAGTCTTGGATAAGTTGGATAAGTATGTAATTAGGTAAGCATAATGTACAGCGCATTTGATCATATGGCCACATGTAAATTTGTGCGCTATAAAAATGTTAATCGTAAGACTTGAAATGTTATTTGTTCAGGTATTTCTCACATCAGGCGCGGAGTCTCCAATTCGAGGGACTTTCTTTTCCAAAGGTAAAATCACATTTCCTGTTTCTGCATTGTGCAGGCATTACGTTGAATGAAATTCTCCACTTGCAATATGGCGTCGTATGCCTACTTTACTAAAGTGAATCTACTGTATTTTCAGGCAGTGCAAAGTCTTCAAGTGGTTTACTTGAAATGCCGAAAGTCCAATCAGCTGCCGAGGCTGTCGTGCTGGTGAATCACGTGACCATTAACCCTGAAGGTACAGTAATACCACATGAAACACTAAACACTATTTACACGCCGTATAAGCCCGTTTTTCCCTCGCCTATTTCAAACTACAGTCCACAGTCGATGTTAACATTGTCTGTGGTAGCGTTGTTCCAATATTCAATCCGTTCTGAATTCTTACCGCCCCGATGAAGCCAATGGTAGCAGAATGACTTCAGAAAAATCTGAGGCCAAACAAAAATTATCCTGGGTGGGTTTGTCGGAAATACATTTGGGCCGAAAGTGGTGCATGCATTTTCCCGTGCGTAATACAAATTAATACAAAATTTGCAAAGTTTGTAGGGCTATATTTTCCTCATTTTACAACATTTCGCAACCAAACTTTGCAATTTTACTAATTTTAAGATGCTCTTTCTAGCTGTGGTGATGGATTTTGATCTCCTTGCCTAGATCAAAATTTAGTCTATAGCGAGGTCTATAGCTGAAATCAGTCATTCTGTCATCTTGGCTTCACTTCTCTTATAGGCCGAATGATTGGATTGCTCCAGATATGTATATAGAGCAACACCACTCTGACTTCTTTCTGGTCATGTCATGTAAATAGGACGTACATACAAACATTAATTTATTTTGCTAGGTGGTGGTTCCTATACACTAAAACTGGCATTCTCGCCCAGTTCAACAATCACACCTTCAGCACCAACAGTTGCGCCCGCAGTTGCTGCGGCAGCGGGCATCAGCTTCGGGGGGCGTTCCCCCAGGAGAGAAACATTTCCGAGTCATGAGAACCTGGTATCGAGACTTGGTCCTATCGGAAGTAGACCTCCCGGGGATTCATCCCTACTGCTGGTATCGTAGTATGAATGGTAAGTCGTTCCCAGACTCGGCGCGAATGACCATCGAGCTCCAATAAATAATCTGAGTGTATAATACCGTCGCTTGCGTCTGCCCATGAACAGTCGCATGCAAAACTTGTAGATATCACTCAAGAAATTTATTGAGCTCAGTGGTATAAAACGGATATAAAATAATAGACATTGACAAATATTTTAGACTGAACGTTATAATTCAACGTACATAAGCATTCGACGCGATACTAGATTTTATCTTCGGACTCAAGCTTGCAAATAATGCCTTGACGTAAAAAATAGTTGTTTTTAATGCACATTATATTACCGACAAATTTGTGTCAAAGTACTGACTCAAAGAATTTTAGCACAAGAGTAAAAAAATATATAAAAAATTCAATTATAAAGAATATCGTATATGATATAATGGACAAGACCCTTGCACGATGATGTCATATCACGCCAATCTTTGGCAATGTGTGGAAAATAATGCAACATAAATTTCGTGAAATTGATCTATACTTCACATATGACATCATCATGTGAGGGTCGATAGTTTCAAGAATTAATATTCTCACTAAAACAGTAAGGTATTAATTTTACAGTACATTCACATGTCTTAGATCGTGCCTCAAATTGTCGCAAAGACATGCTAGGTTATTCAAAGTATATTATATAATAATAACATCAGGGCCGTAGCGAGTAAGTTTGTGGGGTCAGGGAAATTATTTATATAATAACTACAGTGAAACACGCAATTTGATTGGTGAATAGCCGTGTAGGATCAGGCTATCCTGAACGAGGGATTTAAAATGCCTTCGCGGGATTTTCGCGGGATTCTCAAAATGTCATTGTTTCACTGTGGTTATTTTATAAAACAATTACCAAATGGTTTTCCAAGCAGGATAGCGTGATCCCATGCACTTGGGATGTTGCTCGACTTTCGGAAAGTGTAAAAATACACTCACCTGCGGCTCGAGTATTTTTACGCTTTCCTCGTGCATATAATTCCTTTATTCTTAATTATGCTCTGTTCATATTTGAGCCCGGTTACCGCGGCGCTCACCTGAATGGGATCAACTATTTCTGTGTCCATTTGACTGTTTTTATCTCATCTAATGTCCCATCTTGGTGGGACGAATGTTAGGAGTGATGCAAACGAAAGTCTTTTTCCAGGGATTTTCGCACTTTCTCGGGGTCTAAATTTCTCAGAGTCGGAAAAATTTTTTCCAACAGCGCTTTTATTTCCTCGCAACGGCCCTGTATGACACGGATTTTGACACTTCGTTCATAGTAGGAAAATATACGATTACGATGTGAAAATTGTTCTCAAATATGCCATCAAGATGAAGTAATGTGTATAGCAAAATGCGCCCCAACTTGACCAGAACTTGATATAGGGCTAGAACTCGATCAAAACTTTATCCAGTCTTTGGATTTGATCAAACTTAATCCAGTCCTAGGACTTGATCAAACTTCATCCAGTCCTAGGACTTGATCAAACTTCATCCAGTCCTAGGACTTGATCAAACTTCATCCAGTCCTAAGACTTGATCAAACTTCATCCAGTCCTAAGACTTGATCAAACTTCATCCAGTCCTAAGACTTGATCAAACTTCAGGACTTGATCAAACTTCATCCAGACCTAAGACTTGATCAAACTTCATCCAGTCCTAAGACTTGATCAAACTTCATCCAGTCCTAGGACTTGATCAAACTTCATCCAGTCCTAAGACTTGATCAAACTTCATCCAATCGTAGGACTTGATCAAAGCTTCATCCAGTCCTAGGACTTGATCAAACTTCATCCAGTCCTAAGACTTGATCAAACTTCATCCAATCGTAGGACTTGATCAAAGCTTCATCCAGTCCTAGGACTTGATCAAACTTCATCCAGTCCTAAGACTTGATCAAACTTCATCCAATCGTAGGACTTGATCAAAGCTTCATCCAGTCCTAGGACTTGATCAAACTTCATCCAGTCCTAAGACTTGATCAAACTTCATCCAATCGTAGGACTTGATCAAAGCTTCATCCAGTCCTAGGACTTGATCAAACTTCATCCAGTCCTAAGACTTGATCAAACTTCATCCAATCGTAGGACTTGATCAAAGCTTCATCCAGTCCTAGGACTTGATCAAACTTCATCCAGTCCTAAGACTTGATCAAACTTCATCCAATCGTAGGACTTGATCAAAGCTTCATCC